AGCTAAGCAAACATATCACTCCTTGATGGGTGTGTAGCCCCTTGAGATCCCTTGCAGCGCTGGACTTTTCCATAGGAGGATTGATGTGTTTCTACCTTAGATATCTGTAACTTGCAAAAGACATTGTTCTCAGAGGCATCCAAGCCTAACATCATGAGATACTGGGTGAGGAATAAAGGCCTAGAGACAAATCAGTCACAGTTTGTCATCTCACACGTTCTTCTCCCACACATATTCTTTATGACTGTGATTTTACGATGGCGCCAAGAGCAGTTGTATCCTAGGGTGTGTCTAGACTACAGGGTTTTGTCGACAAAACTATACCTGCGTCTACACTGCCGCTGAGTTCTGTTGACATAACTTCGACAGAACTCAGCAGTTTTGTCAATGGCCGTAAACCTCATTCTACGAGGAATAACGCCTTTTGTAGACAGAGTTCTGTTGACAGAAGGCGTTATTGCATCTACACTGTCCTTTGCATCTACACTGTCATGTCAACAAAGGGGCTTGCTTTGTTGACAGAACTGGATGTAGTCTAGATGCTCTTTGTCGACAGTGTCTGTCGACAAAAGCCTGTAGTCTAGACGTACCCCTAGTGATTAATGCTGTGCTGGGTCCTGGGAGAGACCCAGGTTTGCTTTTCCCAGCCCACATTGATCGCTGAGAGGTGAGCATTGACTGTCCCATAAGTATGTCTCGTAAGTTCACCAGCACTTGATTGGCATGACAACCTGCATGGACACTGTCACAGGGAGACCTCTCCAGCATCAGTCTGAGGTAATGACAGTACCCATGGATGCAAGACAAGACCAGGCTGAGAACTGGTACGTGCTATTCCTCTGGAAGTCCCATCAGTTTCTGAAGCTTTCCACTGCTCCATTGCTGCTCGAGCAGTCCAGCCAGAGTGACGCAAAGGAGCCAGAGTGTGTGGGTGAATCTGGTCCAGAACTTTTTGCCTTTATGGTTGCGAATGAGACCTGTGCTGTCTCTCACAATCAGCAGACATTTAGATGGAAAGAAGATCTTACAAAAGTGTCAACTGCCCTCAGTGGTGTGTTAATAAGTTCATTTTATTGGCCAGCATCAGGTTTGGACATTATCTCTTTTACTGCCATTCATTTAGAAATAGCTGGAGAAAGCAGGCTGAATGCAGGATAAGTGGAGCTTGGACTCCATCCATTCCTTACTCAGCCTGACCCCTGAAATTTTGTCATCTTTACCTAGTCGAATATTTCCAAATGGTAATTTATGGACACTGGCTAAAGAAAGGCAGGAGCAGAATTGATTACAGTGTATAAGTACCTTTTGTGGGGAACAAATATAGTCATAATGGACTCTTCAGTCTACTAGGGAATGGTCTCATATGATCCAGTGCCTGGAAGTTAAAGCTAGACAAACTGAGATGGGAAATGAGGTGTATATTTTAAATAGAGAGGGTAATTACCATTGGAACAACTTACCAAGAGCCGTGGTGGATTCTCCATCACAGCTGACTTTTAAATCATGTCCAGATGTTTTTCTTAAAAGCTCTGCTGCAGGAATTATTTTCGTGAAGTTTTATGATCTGTGTTATGCAGGAGGTCAGACTACACGATCACAATGGTCCCTTCTGGCCTTAAATGCTCTCAATTCTCACGGATTTCAAGGGATAGATAGTCCTGTAGCACCTCAGGGTATGTCTACACTACCACCCTAGTTCGAACTAGGGTGGTTAATGTAGGCAACC